ACTTTCTGGGTAGCAAACTGCTATTTGCATTTCATTTGTGATGGAAAAATACTTTGTTAGAGGCTGAGCCTCAACAGGGAAGCAATCTGGTGAAGAAAATAGTTTTGATCATTGGCTCAATTTGTAAAACATTTACAAATCAGCTTCTCCTGGCTGGCTTCGAGTCATTCCTGAGGTTTCTCCAGATGTTTCTTGCCTGGACATCCCTGGACACTGGGGAGTGTTTGCAGCCAGGCAGGACCTGCCTGTTCTCATCCCTGGCACCTCTGGCTCTCAGGTGTTCCCTTCTCAGCTCCTCATTTCTGTTCTTTTCCTATGGAAAACAACCCCAAATCCCAGCTTTTCCACCCACAGCAGCTCCTGAGCATCATTGCCATTCACAGAGACTTGTGGTGATTTTTTATCCTTCTCTTCCTCACAGCTCACTGCAAACCTTCCTCAGCTCTCTTTAAGCAGTTGCCTTCATCTCTTGGATATTTTCTTAATCAAGGCAAAGAAAAAAAGAGAAAAATAATAATAATAATTATTATTATTACTATTATTATTATTATTATTACTGTTATTTCTTGCCAGATTCTCCTATTTCACCATTTTGATCTTGGAATATTTGCCTGTATCTGCTCTTAACTGGTTTTCCAGTTCTGGGATGTCCCTCCCTGGTGCTTTCTGGTTGTGTTTCCATCTTCCCACAGATCTGCAGGGATTGGGAAGCAGGTTTGTAATTCCAGGATGCAGCTGCTGATAAATCCCTGGAGAACAACAGCCTGAAGTGGAGTTTGTCCAATCCAGGTGGCCCCTTCTGGGTTTTCCATGCCCTGGTTGGGTTTTGTGTGCCTGGAAATTTTTCCACCACCAGCCTGGGCCAGTTTCCTCAGCTTTTTACAAAAGCTGCAAAAGGCTAATGCTGCAAGCAGCAACATATGCTTGTGTTTGCAAGGAAAAGGAAGAAATTCACTGTGGAGAACTTGCAGGGATGGAAGAGCCAAATCTGAGTCCTAATTTTATTTTTAGAAATAGGTGAAAGATGTTTGAAGGATGGGGTGGGAAGGAAAACTCAGGGTAAGGTTGATGACAGCAGAGGTGTTTCTACAAATAATTAAGAAATATTAAAATAATTCGAGCTCAGCTGCCTCAGGGCTGTTTCAGGTGTGGGGTTTCATACAGAATTACCTGGCAGGTCAGAAACTGGAGAGGAGGAAAAATCTAAAGCAGAAATTCTGCCCTTCTCCAGAGCTCTGAGCTGTCCCCTGGCTCAGCTTTGCCTTTTTGGTTTGACACAAAACCCTCTGAGGCTGAAATATTCCCAATTTAGTGACGGAGGGCCGTAATTCAGGGGGGTATCAATTAAGAATTATGGATTGTGTAGATGGATATTGGTTTTTAATACAAGAATCTTGTGGTAGCAGCTGCTCCTGCTCATGTGGTGCCCCTCAGAAGAGGCAGCAGTGATTGCACAGTGATATCCACAGTGATAGCAGCATAACAAACACCCCAGCTGCTGCAGACAACTTCCACTGAGACATTTCCTGACGTTCTCTTAAGAAACTGATTTAAATATCTGGGTTTATCTGCATAAGCTCACTGAAAAGGAGCAGAGATAACTTTACAGATTCATTGCTTTGATGGGAAGCTGCGGGGAAGGGGAATAAATTCACATTTCAGGTTATAAAGCAGTCTGCAAGGATTGCAGAAACACATTTTTCCTTTTAAAAATAAGACTTTGTAGGCTGGCAGGAGGTCAGTGGGGCACACAGGAGCAGATCCTCGAGGATGCCAGGGGGAAAACAAATCCTGCTGCTCCATCCTAAAGGGCAGCCCATGGCTTGTGTGCCACTGCTTTGGGGGGTTCTGAGGCATTAAACAGAATTAAAAATAACTCCAAGAGTTTGTGTCCAGTCTTTGATCCATCACCACCTTTTCATGCAGATATTGGAACTGCCCAGGCAGGTTTGGATCCCCATCCCTGGAGGTGCCCAGGGAATGCCTGGAGGTGCCCAGGGAATCTCTGGATGTGCCCAAGGAATCCCTGGAGGTGCCCAGGGAATCTCTGGATGTGCCCAAGGAATCCCTGGATGTGCCCAAGGAGTCCCTGGAGGTGCCCAGGGAATTCCTGGGGGTGCACAGGGAATTCCTGGAGATGCCCAGGGAATTCCTGGGGGTGACACTCAGAGCTCTGGGGACAAGGTGGGGATGGGGCACAGCTTGGCCCCATGGGCTGGGAGGGCTTTTCCACCCGAAATTCTGTGGATTTCTTTCTTTGGGATGCACAGCACCACCCGAGCTGCTGGAACAACAACAACCTGGTTTATTTTGGAGTGTCACTGCTGATATTTCACTTTTTCCAAAGCAGACCTGTACTGATTTCCATATTCCCTTCTAAATAAATCCCTCCCCAAAAATCTCACCCAGTGGCCTCTGCTGAGTGGTGACTTTGAGAATTGCTTCCAAGCCAATGTGCCTTCTTGGCATTTAGAAAACAATTCCTGCTCTCAAGCAGGGTATTAATAATTTCTTACTCGTGTTGAAGTGATGTAAGATGAAAAATTCATGTGGATGCTGCTTTCTCTTCTGGATCCTGCAAGCTGGATGGTCTGGAATGAAGTCAAGGTTTCTTTTTGAGCTCTAATTTCCTTCCAAAGTGAGGAGCAGAAAACTGACACTGTAAATACTTTTAAGTGGTTCAGACTGTTGATGTTTGTTTCTTTATCAGCCTTGTTAACAGAAAAGGGAAAGTCCTTTGATGTGGTCCAAAAGTTTGGTCGTAGAAATTCGTGTGTTTTGCTTTAGTGACTAAAACATGGGCTGGAAAGAGAAATATTTAGGCCTTTTTACACTTTTTTTTTTTTTTTTTTTTTTTTTTTTTTTTGGTTTTTTTTTTTTTTTTTTTTTTTTTTTTTTTTTTTTACATGGTATAAGTTTCTCCCATCCTTTCTGCCCCATCTATCCACAGAGCTAAATAATGAATATTTCTTCAGGGAAGGCATCAAGCTTTTTGGGGATCCTTGAAGCACTTCTAATAAATGATAAACACACCAAAGATCTTTTTAAATACTGGTTTGTGCTGAAGCCAAGTTGTGTTTAAAGGCTCAGTGCTGGGATGGATGGCTTGTTAAAGTGGATTTGGCTTTTGAGCCATTTGGAGAGTCACTTTCTTCCACCACCCTTCCTTCCAGCTGGGGGAAAAAAAAAAAACAAGAATTTATCAGCGAGTTTATCATCACTGCTGTGTGTGTAGGAAGGATGGGAGCTCCAGGGAGGAGTTATTGGAGGCTGTGAGGATCTGAGCCTCTGCTGGAGGGAGGAGAAATCCATTTCCAATCAATCTGGTGCTGTTTTGGGGCATGGGATGGGATGTTGGAAGTGCCTTTAACCTGCTTCCATAATTGATGTTTGGGGACAAGGAGGGGGCCCTGTGGGACAAATGAGCATCCACTGAGTGCATGTGCAAACAGATGGGAGCTGAAGTGGGATGGAAAATTAAAGATACCCACTGACCCAAATTTCTTGCAGTGTCCTGCTCTGTCTGGCTGAAAATTTCATGCTCTGGCTGCTAAACCTTCTTAAGGAAACAATTCCTTGGTGGAATGTTTTCTCACATATGTTTTTAGAGTTTTAAAATGTGCAGGGTTTAATGCATAACCCCATCATCGTGTGCTGAGCTGAGCCTTGGATTGGATAAAGCTGAGCTCTGCCAGGAAATTTGGTGTTTTCTAAACGCTGGGGCTTGCTGCTAAATGGTCAGCACTCCTTTGGAAAGCAAATGGAAGCAAGCCCGTGGAAACAAAAAGCAATAAATGTTTTGTGGTCACTTGGAAGGGTTGAGAAGTTTATTGTGGCTGGGTTGTGCGTGGGGCATGGAGGGGTGGATGTGGGCCATGCAATTGTCATTTGCTCCTTTTAATTAGGAGCTGGATTTGT